GGCATATTATGCCGTTAGTCGTGCCAACACGAACGCCCCACAAAGATTGCTTCCAATGGTTTGCTGTTGGGCAGAAGGGCATACCACCTCAGCACCAGATCCGTAGAGCTGCCTCAGCCGTACCTTCATGTATTCCGAGACACTAGCCTGCTCTCCGTATGAACTATCAAAGTAAAATATATCACCAATAATCCGCACCATGCAGGTAAAGTGACAACCACCGTCAGATATTGGCTGCAACACAACCAAATCATTGTCAGGCACAGGGGAAAACCCATAGCCCGATAGCCATACTGCCTGAGCTCGATTCACCTTCCTTTTGAACTTGTGTTCGATACGGGTCATCCAAGCCTCTATCACCTGGTCGGAAATGCTCGAGTCCTCGACAAGCAGATTATCTCGATCCTGGGTCGTTAAGAGCAAGGTCGTACCCACTTCTCTCCCCGGAAGATTACGCCAAGTTGGGAAGGAGTTCCGCTCCTTGTCGCTCCTATGGCCAGTTCCGTCTGAGCCCGACTTCTCCTGGGAAGGTGCTTGAACTGCGATACCCTGAGACCCTGCCTAATAATTGGGATAACTGGGACCCTGCCTAATTTCCGAATAATTGGAACCAAAGTCTGCCTTGCGCTTCGCATCAGTAGCACGCTCAATGGTAGGGAACTCTAGAGACTCCGCCTCGTCAACTTCGCGAGGCATATCCTTCACGATCATCCTGATAGAAGCCCTTACTTTGTCGAACCAGCTCTCCGAACCTATTCTGAAGCGACAAACTCTGCGCAGTATCGCGTCATTCTCGAGGTATCGAGCTTCACGTGGCCAGATTTCCCCCTCTCGCATCATAAGTAATTCGGCCCTCCTCTCCTTCATAAGATCATGAACGACGCTAATCCATGACCAGATTGTAGGATGGCTCGATCCCGGAAAATGACCGTTCCAACGGTTGTGGAATCCTTCCTGGCCACTATTCGTACGCGGTAGTTCTTGCTCAACGCGCTAACGCAAGTTCCACAATCTTGCTGGATGAATACCTTTCGTGCCGTAGTGAGGGCGAAGGTACTTCAACAGAAAACGGCGGTCGTCTCCGAGAGTTTGTCGAAGATGAAATCCATTCCCAAGTCCACGAGATCAAGCGGAAGGATTCCTTCCGAAGGAAGGGGAGCGCGCCAATATGGCGTAGTAAACCTCTTCTCGCAGAGCCTGCTGCTCCTTAGAAGCAGCCGGCTTCCGTATAAGGCTCTCGATCTTCCGCCTTATGTTCTGGCAGAAGTGGAAGTAGCAACAAATAACCTTCCCTTTCCCGAATACGCCTTCGAAAGCTTTTCTCACAGCGTATTCGAAATCCATCATGTAGCTCCCCACATCCTGACTCAGGATTCCTGAGTCAGCGATCCTTCTATCGCCGCAACGAAACGCTCGTAAGAATTTCCATTCTTTCACGGAAGAATGGCATAGAATAGAGGAAACATACGGCCACAGTCGAAGCGCACCATGACCGTGAATTTCTGGGCCCAATGAGTCGGAGAGGTCTTGAACGTCCCATCCACAGAAATGTGAAAATCTTCTCCGTCGTTCTTCATCATCTCCTTCACCCAAGGATCCATCCAGATGAATAGGCGATCCTTATCCCCTTCGCCGCTATCGAACAATAAGGTTGAACGACTTGAGCCCCCGGCATTCACATGGACATATGCAGAAGACAAAGCCGCTAGCCCTTCCCGACTGGATGGGGCCGTCGGTAGCCCGACAGAAGCTTTTTTTGTTTTGCGCAAAGTCTCATGTATCGCTTTGCGACTCGGTAGCCCCGCTACCGCTGCATCGTCCATGCCCGAAGTCACCTCCTGGAATGGGTCCATGACACGTGCCCTCACCGACAGCTTTTTAGCCCGCTCCTTCATCTCAATGTAGCCTTTCACGGAAGGCGCATCCGGACCTTCGCATGTGTGAGAACCTTTGACAGTTGCGGAGGCGAGCCTTACATCATTTAGGTTACCCGTCACGAGTGGCCGAGCATGACACTTGCGATGGGGAATCTGCTTGTAGTGGAAGGCTTGATCGGTATCAATCTCAATGATCATACAAGCTAAGGATCATTCCAGCATGTCAATTAGGGTATATCAAGCGTTTGTGGGGTCACCCCACTGGGGTGTAGTTCTGTAGGAGTTGTAACAACATGAACCGTGGATCAAAAAGATATCATTACCAAGCTTCACATAATGAATCACGTTGCACTTTTGAGAGGTACCAAAATCTTGATCTCGGATGTGTCTAATGTGCCCAGTGTGTAGGCACACTGTAAGACTAATAGCCCGGTCCTACGCCGCCAGTGGCGAGCGAGATTCTACGTTTCGTGTTTGTCGGTCTGTATTATTCTCGCGATCTATGGTAGCCACGTATTGTTACCTTTTCTACGACCACGACCCGACCTCAACGGCCACCCTCTGGGAACAGGCCCGGGCAGAGGTAGAAAAGGGGCGGCTCCTTGGTCCCTTCTCCGAGAACGAGATGAACGAACGGCATCCCGCAGGCTGGCTATACTCCCCCCGCTTCGCCAAAAACCGAACCAGGGAAGATGAGAGAGATTGACGACATGACAATCAGCGGAGTGAATCGTCTGGTATCCATACCGGAACGGGTCAAGCTCGACACGGTCGACGACCTAACCGACGCCCTCGCTCTTTTCAAGAGTGGCGACTCGAGGACTGGCCTACGTAGGAGCTACCACATCTTCAAGGGCGACCACGCCCAGGCCTACCGCCAAGTGTGCACATCACCACTGGATCGCGACGTCTTGGCAGTGCGCTTACAACGACCGGACGGCCTCGCCAATGCCAACTCCGACCACACCGCCTACTTCGAGCATGCCTGTATGGCGTTCGGCCACCGTGCCTCAATGCTACAATACTCTAGGCTCACCCGCGCCATCGTGGGCATCCTGAGAGAGGCCTTCAACATAGTAGCCTTCGTCTACGTCGACGACTTCTTCATACTCGCACCGTCCGACGAAGCGGATCTCTGCTTCGACATCTTCGAAAAGATTAACCAGCTGATAGGACTAGCAACGAAGCAGTCCAAGTTCCTACACCCGACCGACACGTGCAAGCTGTTGGGTTTGGTGGTCACAATCTCGGAAACCCATGTCACGCTAGACTTGGACGAGGCACGGTCTGCAAAACTGGCAGCCACCATCACAGACGTTCTGAACCGGAGGAGACTCACCCCGGCGGAGAGTTCAAAACTCGCCGGCAAGTTGAGTTTTGCCTCAACGGTATTCTACGGCTGGAACGGCAGGGCCTACCTCAGAGCCCTATACGCCAGGAGTCTACTGTCGGCAGGCACCGAGCGTAGGTCCCCTCACAGATTCGACGACGATAGCCACATCGCCACGGCGCTGAGGTGGTTCCTGTGGGCCCTGCACAACTGCCCCAAACGCTGCGTGTCCCTCCACTCCACTACACCACACGTGATCATCTACACGGACGCCGAATATTCTCTTATCCCCTCTCAGACTGGCTTCCGTAAACATTCCTGTATCGGCAGTGTATTGGCTATACCAGGACATAGCCGAGTCTTCTACTCCGCGTGGAAGCCCCCGCCTGACATCTACGATGCCTTCGACATCAGGGGCACGGACATACATCCCCTCGAGACCATGGCGGTACTATTTGCTCTATACCACTGGCTTCACACACCAATACCCCTAGGGCGCCTCAGCCGAAGAACGGCTCGATCAACATCACTCTCTACATCGACTCCACTGTGGCGGAGGGGGTTGTCCGCAAAGGCTATAGCTCGTGCAGCGACTTGAACGCCCTCGCCCAGCATACGTGGAAAATCGCCGCTACAAGTCATATCGGCCTCTGGACTACCAGGGTCCCATCAGCATCTAACCCGGCCGATTTGCCGAGCAGAGGGAAAATAGACGAGATGAGGGAGCTTGGATGGATCAAAAGCGGCCTCTTGTCCCAACCGCCATGGCAAACCTGGCTGGAAGACAGGGACCGCTGAACTCAGCTCGCTCAGTGAGCTTAGCACTGTTTCTGATGAAAAGTTGGTAGTATCACCTAACGAGACCGATAACGGCTTGCGCTGATCAATCTGCGGGTATCCGCGGGGGGCTCCCTGATGAAACGGCACACCCTTTCTCGAGGGAGCCATCACGGTGAGGGCAACCTCCCTAGAGCCACTGGCCCAACACTCGCCCTTCGTCCACCGGCTCCGCCTATGCTCTCTACTCAGGCCTTTCCCCAACAGCTGTTCTGCAACAATGGCGCGTGGATCACGCGGCGTGATACGAGTTCTAACGAATATCCGACGCAGCACCTTCCGCACATACCTTCAAGGCATGAAGAGCTACAGCAGATTCTGCAAGCTGCTTCATCGGCCATCTCTACCCGTCGACCCGGCAACGCTAACCTTGCGGCTCACACTCTTCAGGAAGGGCACGACCATGGACAATTACTTAACTGGCGTCAAGTTTTCCACCAGGGTGATGTCGCCGATAACGACGATATCTATGGCACCCTTCTACAACGACGCTGTTCGCACCACCGCCCGGGCCATTTCTCAAAGCTCAGGCCTCCCAACTCAGAAAAAGGGGCTACGTATAGACACTCTGAAGGCCATCCTCCGGCGAGCAGACTCTCTTTGGTCCAGATCAACACTACACCTTTCCCCGTGCAAGTTTGACAAGTGAGCAGACAAGAATGACAATGTCACTATCAAGAGTGACAATGAGAATCCAAGTATGTCACAATTCAATTCTGTTACAATCAAGTTTGACTTTAAGAATTCAAGTATGTCATAATCGAGATATTTTACAATCAAGATTGACAATGAAAATCCAAGTTTGTCACTTTTCTATTTTGTAGCAACCAAGTTTGACAGTGAGAATTCATGTTTGACATTGGCAGAATATATTACAATCAAGAATGACAATGTTCCACACGAGTTTGACAATACGCACACAAGTTTGACAATACACGTCCAAGTTTGACACTTCGACTCGACATGTTGACACGGTTTAAACTGATTGCCCACTTGAAAAATCACACGCATTACATAGTAAGGAGGCTCCCGAGTCATCGAGAGCTCTATGTAAACTTGGGATGACATCGAAAGAATTCAAAAAGCGACCCCTTGACTCCCTTTGTTCCCAAGTATCCGATAGCCTATACACGGCTCCTATCTTGTCAGTGGTTAGCTTTTGCATAGCATCATCACACATTCCTCGCAGCATATCTTCCCGGTACGGGTATAAGAACATGTGTTGCTCTTCAGCTCTATGCCTATCTGTTATCGGGCCCCTCTCACTCAGCTTCTCCTTGATATAGGCTCTGACCACAGAGAAACCCTCTTCAATGTCAAACTTGGATGTGTATTGTCAAACTTGTGTGCGTATTGTCAAACTCGTGTGGAACATTGTCATCCTTGATTGTAATATATTCTGCCAGTGTCAAACATGAATTCTCACTGTCAAACTTGGTTGCTACAAAATATAAAAGTGACAAACTTGGATTCTCATTGTCAATCTTGATTGCTACAAATTTAGATTGTGACAAACTTGGATTCTCATTGTCAATGTTGGTTGTTACAAGATAGAAAAGTGACAAACTTGGATTCTCATTGTCACTCTTGATGATAACATTGTCATTCTTGTCTGCTCACTTGTCAAACTTGCACGGGAAAAGGTGTAGACAAGGCCTACCCCGACAAGAAGAGGAAGGAGTTCAAAGAGGGACAGTTCGCAGTCGCCTGCCTCACCGCCTATACGTGCGCCATGCGCGTCCAGAGTGAGCTACTCCCACTGACGGAAGCCGCCATCTCCTCCTCCGCGGACGAGTTCACAATCCACCTGGCCTCACGCAAAAACATGAAAGGCCCGTGCGAGATAACGAGACCATGCGTGTGCCAGGTTGACCCTCTCATATGCGCCTATCACAGGCTGAAGTTCCTACGCCGAATACTGTCCGGGAGGGGCGTTCAAGGGCGTGATCCACCCGTCCCATTCGGCCGCTGGTTCCCTGTGACTCTCGCGTACTTCAACGACGAACTCCGTCGAGTCCTTGTGGAGATCGGTGTACCGCACCCCAACGATTACGCCTCTCACAGCTTTCGCCGGGGCTCCACGCAGGATATCACTTCGGGGGGTGGAGCTACGTTGACACAGGTTTTGAGACACCAACAGGTCCACGGTGGCTCCTACAAGAGGTACATGGATATACGTGAGGCTGAGGCGCTGGAGTTCGGGCAGATGATGCAGCGCGTGTGCAGACCGACGACGCCGCCTCTCCGTCATGTTGGCGATGGCCGGACCAAAGCGTGACGTGCTGGATGGGTTCTCCGTGGGGATTTCCCGGCGCTGAGGCAGGGGACGTCATTCTGTATTTTGCACGGAACCGTGTCTGCATTATTCCTGCCCTGCCCCAGCGTCCGCGTTTTGGGTTCCCCCATCGGCACGTACATGTTTATATATTCCCATGACTGAGTCAACACGCTTTGAGTTCGGGATACCGAGTGCTATTAGTGGTATCGATTGATTTTGATGATTTGTGATCAGCTGCTTTCCATCCCTGAGCCCCTCCCACTATTACTTGTACTGTGAAATGTTCTGAACGTACAAAATTCGCATAGTTGAGCCGATGCACTCTTGAATAGTTTGCGGAGGCAACAGTGGTCACAAGCGGTATAGTAGATGACAGTACTAAGAATGCCTGTAGGAAACCGTCAACAGAGCTCGGAAACATAAATTTCGGGATGACTGGAACGCCTATTAAATTGCAGCAAGATTGTGAGCATCACTAAGTGTAGCAACCACTACTGAGAAAATAACACAAGCACATCGTGACAAGAATAATAGACCGTAGAGTAGTAAGGTGTAGTCCCAAAGCAGTTGCCACGACCCGAAGATAACTGAACTAGCCAGACTTCTACCACTTCTGCTCACCAGACAGCTTATCATATAGGTCATTATCTGAGTACCCGCCACAAGTATGGTATCCGTTCGACGGTGTAATACAATCCGGCAATCGCAACTTTTTGCTAATGTTGCGGATTTGCCAAATGCTATAATTCTTGACAGTCTCACCTTTTTGCTCATTTGTATGTGCCGCTCTCTCAGTTACAAAGTAGCAACCACATTTACACCCTAGCAAGTTCTGGTATAGGTTTTAGCAACCAAATGTTGAAAGTAACAAATTCGAAAGTGTTTTCCAGCAAGTCGCTCTTTCTTGCTCTTTTTTTGCTGCATTGTATATTTCCCCGGAGTGTTTTACACGCTGGCACTTTTGCCCAAGTGTGCTTCGCCCGCACGTTTTCGTTATTCTGGCAAGTTGTGCTCATTTGCTGTTTAATATGTTTCGCGTTGTAATTATATAGTCTGGCACCTTTTAAGGTTTGCTATTGTGTGATGTTCCTGCATGAAATATACAAATTGGCAGTTGCCGGTATGTGACAACGCTGCGCTACTTTTATGTTTCGGCTATTTGCTCTCTTGTAACTTACGCCCTGCGGGAATATATACTAGCGTTTTGCTCACTCGCTCAAACTGCGTCTCTGTTAGCGTTATTAGCAAACTTGCCCTTTTGCATTATTCGTACGAGCAATATACAGTCGAGCAAACATAGTTATATGATAGCATTTCTCGTTCGATTATGGTATTGCGTCTTATATCCATTCTGGTGCATGTTCATGCCCTATCCACTTACTATTAGTAAGTTACTAAGTATCTATCAGAGGTGTCACACCTCGTGTCTCACTTCAAGGGAGTCACTTAGTACCGGATGAAAGCGTGATAGCACTCTAGTGAGATATATCATCCACTCCGAAGACAGCGCGAGTTATGATCAATGCTGAATACCGAAAACATGATTGCTCTTGCATGTCGCGATTAAATCAGATGAGATAACAGTTAAATTGAGTCCCCATCTTCGAGTATCTTCTCTCTTTTTGCATCGTATCAATTGTGTCTCATGGTTTAATACGATTGTACGTATTGACGACTCAACAATACCCACAAGTTAAACCCTCAAGTAGGCATTACGACGTAATGCCGTACGTCGTAAGAATTACGGGCAACTTTGACATTCTACACGAGAAACGTTCACTCATGGGCAGTGGCACTCATCAGGGTGCTTTCGTGGAGCTATTATTATGGACTGTGCAGAGGTGTCGAAGAATTGTACAGGGGTAACGCAACACGGACAGAATTACTAAATATGAATTCTACAGCCCTCCGCACACAATATTCACTCCCGGGCACCACTAGAGTGCCTTCGTAGAGTTACTTTTAGGGACTGCATGAGGAGCATATTGAGGAACGTGCAAACTTCACTCTACCAATCACCGAGATAGCTACTTGTAGCAGCTACAACAGCTGAGCACCACTGAGATGCCTACCTTACTGCGAGTGCGTACATGGTCGCTAGTCTCTAGTGATTGGAGAAACTACTTCGATTCCCTTGTCCTCTTTCGACCGCTTCTGCTGCAATTCTTTTGCCGCGTGGCTCTCATACTCCTCCACCAATAAAATAGCATTGTTGTTAGACGAGTTCTTTCGCACTATCTCCTCACATCTGGTACCTCGGAAGAACTTGTGCAGCGCCGGGTAAATGCGGAGGGCTAAACCAGCCTGCCTCTTTCCTCGATAATTTCGATTTTCGCGCGGGGCATCTTTCTGCAATGACCAGTATTTGCTCAGACTACCGAAGAGCATATTGGTTCGCATGCAATAGGCTACGTAGGGATCAGGATGCGAGTATGAAAGCCACAACATCTCGCATGGGCACCACTGGGGTGCCTGCAATACAGCACTGCACTGCAGATGAGTGATCCATGTTGATCCAAATAAGTGATCTCGGATCACTCAGTACGAGTAATTCCGCCCAATACGAACTACCATGTAAACACAAATCCTCTACTTGCAAACATAATACAGAGCATAGCAAAAGTTTTAACCACAATCCCAATACCACCAGTGTTTCCCCTTCACTACTTCTGACACTACTTTCGAGTTCCCTCTTTGAGCTTCCTGAGTTTCTCGGGAATCTCTTTCCGGCAATCCCGGTCCCTTCTGTGACCATGTGCGAACTGCAATGATGTAGAAAATATGAAAACCCAACGAGCCCTTTACGAATCTACGTAAGTCGTTAGTAACGATCTACTACTTACAATAGTCCATCCATCATTCTCCCAGTGCTGCAACTATACTTATCTATATCGACAGAACCAAAGAACTTTGCAAAATAGTCACCACTCAGAGACTTCGAAACTATAATGCAATGCTCAACACAACCACCAACAACCCACCAAGGTTCGAATATCGCGTGCGAAATTTCAATTTCTTCTTCCGATTGTAGAACAGAAAAAATTTGCTCCATTGCGGGGTTGCTCATTCGCAAAGCGGCAAATTGCTCCTCTGAAAAGTAGCAATTTGCTCAATAGTAGAAGGAGCAATTTATTGGTTTGCCCCTTCTTTGAGCAAAATTGCTCAACTTTGTTACATAGTAGCACTTCATATAGCGGCAACTTTTATATATTCTAGCAATTTTCTGAAATATAAACAAGCAAACGATATTCATTCGAGCAGTTTCTGTTATACAAAACGGCAAATTTGCGTATTTGTAAAGTGCATTTTGCTACTTTGCTCTTCTGTATATCAGCCATAGCGTTTTTACACACTAGCACAACAGCAAAAGCCGCAGGGAATATACATTCCAGCTAATTAGCACTTTCTTGCTATTTGCTCCTTTGCTATTTTGTAACTGAGCCTTCGTTCGATCAAGTCGCATGAAAGGAAATTCTCAGATTACAGACTCGAGCGGAAGGGTCATCTGCCACAAACGCTGCCCCGAAAGGGTAACACGTTCACAGTTGAAATACAAGGAACCTGTAGAATGCTGGTGGAGCCAGCTTTTACTGTAACACCAGCGTTCAAATGAAGCTAGAAAAGCAGTGATGATAATAAGTAGACTACTTGGTCTTCTTATGCTGCAAAGTCTCACTCAGTACTGGCGGCTTGGGGGCTTTGATGAAGCTAAGAAATATCGATGATACAATTCTACGATAGTATTGTTGTTATTATTATTACCAGTCCTTGAAGAATACCATTCCCCATACACTAAATGCTATGATGTGGAGGAACATCAACACTACGATTACTAAGATGCCACTCGCTGTTATTAGTAATGCTAGTAGCTACTATTACCTGTTCGTAGACTCTCAGGTACTCCACTCACTATCTGGCCGTATACTGAGTCCTTCGAGGTAAAGGTGGTGAGATACTCTAATAATCCTTCTAACATTATCAACAACCAACAGTTTGATAGGAGTAAGAGCTTCACAACATTGGAGTGGCTGAACAGCGGAGCGAAGGTACTCTTGCGGTAGGCTTCATCATTTTGGCATGATACTTTTACAAGGTGCGCTGTTTGGATGGACACCCGACAGAGGACCCGGCAACGTTACTGAGAAGCTTATGTATTGTCGGGACGTGTTTATTTGTTGAAGGAGGGACTATAGCGAGTTACTCAAGGGCAAGTGTGGTACTCTCCGGTTGTTGCTGTGTAGTTAGGAGTGCTGTGGGATGGTCAATACTTGACATATGTGATCGGTGTGGCGATGCTGTAGGGTATGTATACCCTCTACTCTGCCGTGATGTTATGAAGGAGCACTTCTGTGATAAGATACTCACTGTGGAGTGTTTCGAAGATAACAGCATGATTGAGGAGCTCTTACGGACTACACCTAAATGGGAAGTACCACTCAGCTACCGCTACAGCTGCATCAACTGATCCTGGTCGTTATCGATGCTGGTGTGAGTGGTAATCGTATAACAGTGCTAGAGGCATGGATAGCTTATAGCGGGATCTGCTGCTATCGAGAGTAGCTGGGTAGGTAGTGTACGTAATACCCCCTTACCCTCGACTCTGTGCCCCTAGGTATAGTTGTGTACGGAATACAAGATTGTTGGACTCTGCCGCTGTTAGCAAGGTTGGTATTGGGATGAACGCAAGCCTTCACCTACGGAAGACCAAGAGGGAGGATAAAGTGGAGCCACCCTCAGATGCTAGTGATACGGGGGTGTAGTTCCCACTCTAAAGCTTGGCCTCTATTCTGATGATGATATCATCATGTCTGATGCATACAGGCTCGCTGCTTCCATGCGGTAGGAGCTCTCAGCATGATTATTCTTGTGAGTTTCAATGTTATGAGTTGTTGTCGAGTTGAGTCAAGCCGATACGATTGGTGATTCTCCGTGTGTATTGACGACAACATGAAATTGAGCTGTACTTGTGTAGTACTACTTTTTCAAAGGGCTACTGCTCGTCGTAGATGTCCGACAACAGCAGCCTCATCATTGAGAGGCGGCTGCTTCATAAGCAAACACCATCCAAGGTTGGTGACAGTACTACTAAGGAGGATGATAATGCTACATCAATGGGCGCTCAAACCGAGGGAATCTTGACCCGCGGGAAGGCCGCTGCTCTTGCGGCAGCAGCAACAACAACAGCAGGCGTAGGGAGTTCCCCGAGGAGTGGTATGGACAAGGATGATACTACTCCAGTGGAGGATGCTAATGGACCTGCAACTGCCGATAGCGAGAATGCTGTAATACCCAGCGTTAAAGAGCAGCAACCTATTGAAGGTAGTAACGGCGATCTGAGTTGGCTCATCATGGCATTCAGGAGGACCAGTTGTGGGTGGCGCGGCAGCTACTCTATTGCAACAGGGGAGTAGTAGAAAGGATGCTGATGAGGCGCATGATACTGCAAAAGCTCTTGGCTTGGATCCGAACCTATCTGGTAGTACTATCTGGGAACTGATATTGTTCGTGTCGTATAATATCGTCTCACTGTATTCAGCTACCTTGTTGCCTGCCTCGGCTCAACCTTTTCTTTCGGACATCCCTGTAGAGAAGCCTAGTGCATCTGAGATTAGACGGAACCTTACTCCTAGAGAGGCACGGCAATTAGCAGAGCTACAATACCATGAGCAGCTACGGGCATATCAGAGATGGGTAGCAGCTGTGGCTGATGCTATGAGGGAGAGGGCTACTGCAACTGCAGCAGCAATGGAGGAAGGAGAACATCATGAACAAGGGGTGGATGAAGGGGGTAATGGTAGTATAGATGGAAAGGAACATGTAGAGGTAGTATGGTCGTGGTCACGGGTGGGCCTGATGATAATATCAGGCAACTGAAGTGGGTAATAAGAGGCCTTCATCACATGGGGTAGCTGGTCATCATGATCATGTATCCTCACCAGTGAGGAAGATTCCAAAGACTAGTCCAGCGACTAATTCACGGGAGGTGAGAGTAATACTTGTAACGCGGTCAGTTGTAAGGGTGGCATCTTCTCAGACATTTGATAAGTCAGCAACTGGTACCTCCCTACCATCATCATCGATGCCCAGTTCGTCATCAGCGGCCGACATTACTACAAGCGTATGACTGGTATTGATGATCTCCTAATGAAAGCATTATATTATTCAATAACATATTCCCACCTATCTCAGTACTGGGCTACTCTATTATCCCACTACGTTCATGTAGCATCCTGACAATACTCGTAGTAAATCGTCACTAGTTGGAGATGGAATACTCTTGCTTCATCGTCTGCTGTATTGTGTTCACCCTCGGCAATCGTGCGCTACTTCCTATCCGACTAGTTCATTAGTAGTAGAATGAAGAGGGCAGCGGGTTGGGAACCTGGATATCATGATGCTGTCCAACAACAACAACAACAAGAACAAAATTGGAGGGCTAAGATGAGGGTCCACGCAATGTCCCTAGTGGTAGGTTGTCGCTTCAAGTGCATCTTACCATCCTTTCCTCTAGGCTATTCTTATGGGTGATAGTCCTAGTATACCTCCATCGCAGGAGCTTGCAGAAGGTGCGGTATGGTATTGTAGTATATGTGAACTCTACTTGACCAAGCTGACATCGATACATCTACAGAAGAGGAGGATACTTGATCACTTGCTCCAAGATGGACATCACTACTCCATGCTGCAGCATTGGTCATCAGTCTCAGCTTCGGTCCAGCGACCATTCCCGTCGTCGAGCCCACTGCAACAGGACTACCCTCTCATGGCTTCTGGGCCTCATCCTACTAGGAGGCTCAGCTTGCGCTTCAACCATTCCAATGGTGATATTGATATTATCAATCTGATGCAGCATAATGATGAGCCTACCAAATACGGTGGCTTGGTAGGAGGCCCTACTCGCAGGTGGGGTCCACCGGGAGTGCCTTCTGTTCAGGGTCTACGTGTGGAGATACCCCATTGGAATGGATGCCATCCTCTTCCTCTTCACACTACGAGTATGAGGATGCCCACTAGGCCTGCTAACCCGAAAGCCCCTATAGTCCTCCTACAACGAGAACTTGGCTTAAGCTCTCCTCCTCCTCCTCCTCCTCCTCAACCGTCCTCTACAGCATGGTCACTCACTAATACCAAAGAAGTCACAGTTAGTGATACATCCACACCTCTGTCGGCTACCGAGGGGGGTGGCACTGTGAGATCTGTAGACTCCAATGCTACTACTACCACATCTGATGTTCAATACCTAGAATTGATAGATCGTGCCATTAGCATCTGTGGTGTGTTGGCTCCTGATCAAGCCCTGACCTCTCCATTTGTGGATCCCTCCTAGCACATCTCTTTCTCAAATGCAGCAGCGGGAGCTCACACTGTAATATCCGACACCATTCTCGAATGTCTTCTATCAGTGTTTGGAAACTGATTGTCCAGAGATGATCATATCATCGCAGTAGAGTACCTTTGTCTACAATTTACCATCACATTGCGTTCCTAAAGACCCCTGTTGTTCAGTCATG